GCGACGAAGGGCGCGGCTGTCGTGGCGACGAGCTGGGCGGCCGTCGCGCTGGCTCCGCCCGTCGTTTGCGGCCATGCCGCCCCGTCGCCGTTTCGTGGCACCTCCGTTCCGGCCCCCTGTCCCGCCCGTCGCGCCCGTGCAACTGTCCCCGCCCTCCCTCCCACCGGCCCCGCTACAGCTGCCGCGAGCGCTCCTGCTGTGAGGGAATGTCGTGAGGGTGGTGGGCAGTGGAGGAAAAGTGGCGGCGGTGGCGGACAGTGGGGGAGGTGGCGTGACGGGGTGACCGCTGTGAGACGCCAGCAGCGCCTGCCGTCGCCCTTTATCGCCCCATGCGCGACTGTCGCTGTGGGGGGGAGGGTGCAGGGGTGGCGGGAGTGTACCCGCAGGAACCAGCCGCCGCCCTCCTCTCTCCTCTCTCTCCCTGCAGCGCCTGTCGCTATGGGGGAAGGGGGGGAGTGTGAGGGGGTGGCGAGAGACATTCTGCCAAGCCAGCAGCCGCCCTTCCTCCTCTCTCTCTCTCACTGTCACGCGTGCCGCTGTGGGGGGGAGGGTGAGAGAGGGTGGCGGAAGACAGCCGGGTATTTGCTGCTGCCGCCCGCTGCTACTGTGGCACCTCCAGCTGTCGCCCCTGTCGCCACCTGCCCTGTTTTCTGTTTTCTGCTGCTGGGGCCTGCAGGTGCTGCCGTCGAGCCGCTGCTGTCCTGCTGCTTGTTGCAGCCACAGAGCCTGCTCCTCAGGCGACCTGCCACCTCCCACACCTGTTACTGCTTCTTCCTTGGCTGAGGGTTGGCTACAGCTGTTTCTGCCACTTCTGCACCGGTTACCACTGCTTTTGCCTGCCACTGTTTCTTCCGCTGCACCCTGTCTGGTGTACCCCATTATGGGGGCGTTGATTGCACATTCTTCCCTACAGGCACTTATGGGGGCGTGTCAGAATAATATATATTTCTATATATTGTTCTATAACTGCCTGTAGTGTAGAATACTGTAGTCATATAACTTTCTGATTGGTGGTGCACCTTTCCTGATTCTTACCTATTTGTACTGCTCGCTCTATAGTGAACATCCTCTTTTGGCAAATCTCTCGATCCCTTCCTCTCGTAACTCTCGTTCTACCCTCAACCCAAGTCCTAAGTCAACTTAGGCTTTTAACAGTTTTGTCCAGGAGAATACGGTATGCTGAGGTATGGTATGGTACCATAGTAATGTACCACGGAAGCAATATTCATACTTTCAAGTTTAATTAGGGTTGTAGGTATTAAGCGGAAGGGTCACAATGATAGAGATTTGATAGGAAGTTTAGGTACGGTAAAACATTACTTTCAATACCGTCATACCCCGGATAGAAGCGCAGGCCTCGGATAAGCGCCGGCGCTTATAAAAGGATGAGGGCGCTTATATCCGGTCCTCGATTATAAGCGCACCCTTTAGAGCCTTACGGATTATAAGCCCCCCCCCCCCCCCTCTCCCCCCAAAAATTTGCACAGTATACGTACCTATCTATCAAATTAGATTATTTTCTATATTTTTAACGATTACAACTCCTATCATACTGATTATCTTCAATTTCACTATACATTATACCAAATCCAAGCTAAACTACAATTCCAACATTTAAACATTATACTCTTGTTGGCTCCTGAGGCATCCTACACATCCTACACATCCTACACATTTTACAACACAACCTAGGCATCGCCCTCAACTGTGGCGGTGTCATCCTGGGCGGTCTCACCGTCAGACTCTGGCTCATCTATGTTGTTGCAGCAGAATCCATCTGCTGCAATCTCGTCGTCAAGTTCCACTTCGCCCTTGACGGCGTCCCGCCGGTGCTGCAAGCATAGGTTGTCCTGGGACCCGTCCAAGGCGTTGCTGATGCCACAGGTGAGAAACGCACGCTCAATCAACTCTTTCGGCATCGCCTTCCAGGCCGTGGAGATCCACTTGAGCGTTAGCTCGGATGGTGGCTTGCGGATGTTGCCTGCCACACATGTAAAATAACAGCAGTCAGAACAAGGAAGGAACATTTAAAACAATTCCAACACTTGGTTTAACACTCACCTTTTTCCGTCAGGAAGTCAACGCCCGCGCTCTCGAACCACTCCTGGTACATTTGTCGCACAGCTGCTTTAAAGGAGCGGTTCACCGCGACGTCCATGGGCTGGATCTCCGACGTGCAGCCTGCTGGAATGATGGTGGGGACGATGTTCAGCTCGCCGAATTTCGCCCTCACATGGTCAGTCAGGTGCCCGCGGTAGGAGTCAAGAACTAGCATCGACTTCCTGCTGCGCACGCCGAACCTTGGGTTGACGTACGGGCTCACCGCTCCGTCGAGCCAGGCGAGGACGCCGTCCGCATCCATCCATCCGTTGGGATATGCTGCGACAACGACATCTGCACATCCGCACATGACGATCGTTTAAAACGGCATCAGTTATAAACAACAACACATGCAAACTAAACCGTGACTGCACAAGTTGCTCCGCTTACAGGAAGGGAAGTTCCCCTTGGGAACAGTCTTGCGTTTAAAGAACACCGCCGCTGAGCTTCTCGCCGCTGGCGGTGCAGGCGAGCATCACCGTCACGCGTTCTTTTTGATAGCTGTGAGAGTACGACGGCTTATGCTGGCTTTGCTAGCTTGCCTTTACTTTATTATGCATTATCTAGCTTAGCTTTGCTTTATTTTGCTTGCTTTTGCTAGATTTCCTAGGTTCGTTGCTTTTACTATATTTATTATAGTTATAGGCACCGAACTAGGTTGCGTACACCGAATTCTAGGCTTTTCGGTTGCCACCGAATTGCCTTCTACCGAATTCGGGAAGGGCCTGTTCGGGACGCTTCGCGACCCTCGGAACCTTCGCGTAACACCTGGTTACCTGCCTTGTGTCGAGCCTATATATAGCCTCGAGTTGGACCCAGGTGAAACATTCAATTCCATTCTCTTTTCTGAGCTCGATCCTAAGATCCTCACACTTGGTAATCAGAGCCTGTTTACACGCGAGTTTTTCGACCGCTAACTCGTAGCTTTGAAAACCGCAGGGGCGACGACGAACGCGCCGATTTCGGGTACGTAAACCAGTTCCGCGCTGTTTTTTAATGGTCCCCTCGAACCGGTTCTCGAACACTCCTCAGGTCCACCGGCAAAAAACTTGGAATTTCAGCTGTCGGATCGATTTCGACATCGACGGCCCTCTGAATTCGCCCAAAAACGTTGGAATTTGGGGTGTCGGATCGAATTATAGCTGAACGGCCGAGATCTGACGCGAAATTCAGATAAGGGAAAATTACGTGACTAGCAGAAACGGCGCTCAACATTTCTACAGTCAATTTTATTCGCAGTAAGTCGACCGGCGCCTAGTTTTCAATTATTTCTGTCGCAAATCTTCCTGTAAATCGCCAAATGGAGGAAAACGGTGAGAATTCCGTACGAAAAATTACGGAGTTACGCACCGACCTGGACCAGATGCGAGCGGCACTCCAGCGATTAGAGGAGCTCCTCGCGAACCAGTCGGTAGCCGCCACAGCAGCAGCGAACGTAGCAGCGAATGCAGCAGCGACGGTAGCAGCAGCAACGGCGACACCGACACTTCACCAAGCAGCAGCCACAGTGAATCTTGAGGCGGCACGTCCAAGGATACCGGAGGCGTTTAATCCGAATGCGAGAGACGCCGACGTCCGTCGATTCATTGCGACACTCGAAATTTATTTCGAGGCCGTTGGCTGTACGACCCCGACATATGTCAAACATTGTATGTTTAAGTTGTGTAGGCTGTAGTGGGTTTCACCTTAGGGGGTACACAAACTTAGGGTTTCCTACTTGTACCCAACTTTCTGCTAGTTAATCCATTCCTGCTTCATTTATTATGACATGGTTTCAGAGCAGGTCCTTCGCTAGGACCTATTTTTTTAGGGCCCACCACTACTGACTGCCTACTAGCGCCTTCGTGCGCCCTACTGTCGGAGCGCTCCCTAGCGCCTCCCCCCAGCGCCCTCGTGCGCCTTTCTTTAACGGCCCCTTAAGGCCCCGTCGACCCCGCGCGCCGCCCCTTAGCGACCCCCGCGCCGCCCCTTAGAGGCCCCGTCGACCCCGCGCGCCGCCCCTTAGAGGCCCCGCTGGCCCCGTCGACCCCGCGCGCGCCCCGCTTAGAGGCCCCGTCGGCCCGTCGACCCCGCGCGCGCCCGGCTTAGAGGCCCCGTTGGCCTCGTCGACCCCGCGCGCACCCCACCGAGAGGCCCCGCTGGCCCCGTCGACCCCACGTGCGCCCCGCCTAGAGGCCCCGCTGGCCCCGTCGACCCCGCGCGCCTCCCTTAGCGGCCCCGTCGGCCCCGTCGACCCCGCGCGCACCCACGCCTTAGCGGCCCCGTCGACCCCTCCCGCCGCCCCTTACCGCCCCGCACGCGACAGCCACGGCCCCGCCAGAACCAGGCCGCCCGAACCGAGCCATGCAGCCCGAACCGAGCCGCGCCGCCCTAACCGAGCCGCGCAGCCATACCTGAACCGAGCCGCGCCGCCCGTACTGAACAGCTTCTCTGGATCGAGCCGCTCTACCTGAGTCGCGCTGCCTACTGCTGTTAGGGTACACCTCCTACGACTACTACTACTACTACTACTACTACTACTACTACTACTACTACTACTACTACTACTACTACTACTACTACTACTACTACTACTACTACTACTACTACTACTACTACTACTACTACTATTACTACTACTACTACTACTACTACTACTACTACTACTACTACTACTACTACTACTACTACTACTACTACTACTACTACTACTACTACTACTACTACTACTACTACTACTACTACTACTACTACTACTACTACTGCTGCTGCTCCTACTGCTACTATGGCTAGCCCTCCTGTGCTAGCTTTCGATGCTGAGGGCCGCCCAGTGAAGTTTGACACCTGGCTAGATGACCTGCACCTCTTCCTACAGCTCACTGCCAAGGAGGACATCTCACTGTACGATCACGCCCTAGGCCATGCTACTGCCCCTGACCGTTTCTTCTGCTGACAGCACTGCCCGCTCACAGTGGCAGACTCGTGACGCCCACGCTCGCTTTGCTATTCGCAACTCCCTGCCGATAGATGAGCGCGAGCACTTTGGCCAGCACAAGACCGCAAAGGAACTGTACACTGCTGTCGTTGCCCGCTACTCCTCACCTGCCTCTGCCGCACTAGGCCGTCTCTCACTCCCCTACCTGTTCCCCGACCTGGCCTCTTTTCACACAGTTGCTGACCTCATCACGCACCTCCGTACTAGTGAGGCCCGCTTCCGTGCCGCTATGCCCGATGAGTTCCTTGCTAAGAACCCCCCCCCGCCCTGGCTCACTCTCTACCACTTAGTCACCCGCCTCCCTGACTCTCTGCGTGCAGTCAGGGATCACTTCCTCGCTCGCTGCCCCACTGAGCTCACCATTGCCCTCCTCGAGAAGGAACTACTTGCAGCTGAGGCTAGCATAGTCGCTGTAGGTGCCTCTCGTGGCGACCCCCGCACCCCCTTCTTTGAGGGGTGTTCCCCTTCCCCCCTTCTTCCCTCTGTAGCCTCTGCTTCTGCTGTCGACCTCCTTGGTGCTGAGAAGGTCGGGACTGCGTCCGCTTCGAGCTGGCGCCGCAGGGGCAAAGGGGGCAAGGGAGGCGGAGGTGACGGCGGGGGAGGCGGTGGTGGAGGCGGTGGCGGTGGTGGGGGTGGTGGTGGGGCTGGAGGGACTAGTGGCAGCAGTGGGGGTAGTGGCGGCAGCGGCGGGGGAGGTGGCAGGGGCGGGGGCGGTGGTGGGGGCTGGAAGTGGCCAGAGCAGCAGCACACTCCGTCACCCGAGGAGGCCCGTGAGTGGTACTCTCAGCACGGGGGGGGGGGGGGGGGTGGACTTAGCTGCACGTACGTCATCCGCACTGGTGACCGCACTGGTCAGACGTGTGGGAGGGCGCACACCACGCAGCGCTGCTTCTCTCGCCTCGACGACGCCTGGCGTACTCAGTTCCCTGATGCCACTGAGCTGCCCCGCTGGTTTGATCTGATGAAGAAGGGAGTTGATATCTATGCTCTAGACTTTGATGCTATTCTCACTGCCATGTATGTGATGTCTACTAGTGGAGAGGGTGCTCAGTACCTGTGTGTTCCGCCCGACCCGGGCATTCAAGCCAGTGAGGCTGCCGCTCTAGGTGCTAGTGAGACTGCCACTCCAGGTACTCGCGTGTCTGCTACCCCAGGTGCTGGTGAGGCTGCTGCTCTAGGTGCTCGTGAGTCTGTGCCCCCTGGTACTGAGTCGACTGAGGCACTGCACACCTTCACACTGGACTCAAGTGCTTCTCGCTGTTTCTTTCGTGACCGCACTGTCCTTGAGCCGCTGGCTCGGCCAGTTGCTGTCTCCCTCGCTGACCCCTCTGGGGGTCCGGTCATTGCGACCTCCTTCACGGTCCTTCCCTGTCCTGCGGCCCCATCGGGCACACTGTCCAGTCTCCACCTCCCCTCGTTCTCTACGAACTTGGTGGCGGGTTGTGCGCTCCAGGACGGGGGTGTTCACCAGTTCACCCCTGCCTACGAGCGCGTGACACACTGCACGTGTGCTCGGACGGGCCGTCACCTGGCTACCTTCACTCGGCAGCCGGGGTCGGACCTGTACACACTGACCACTGAGTCCCCTCAGGTAGCTGCGTCAGCGTCTGCGTCTACGTCAGGTCAGCTGTCGGCCCCCTGCTCGTGTCGCTCTCTGGCGCACGAGACCGTCCTCTGGCACCACCGACTTGGTCACCCGTCCGTGCAGCGCCTTCGTGCAATGCACAAGCGGTACCTTGTCTCTGGTCTTCCCAGAGTTCTCCCTCCCCTCCCACCCTCGCCTGCTCCTCCCTGTCTTCCCTGTGTCGAGGGGCGGCAGCGCGCCGCTCCTCACTCCTCCTCGTTTCCCCCGACGACTGCTCCCTTGCAGACGCTCCACATGGACGTGTGGGGCCCAGCCCGCGTCCGGGGACGGGGTCAGGAGCGGTACTTCCTGATTGTTGTTGACGACTACTCGCGCTACACCACGGTCTTCCCCTTGCGCACCAAGGGTGAGGTCCCTGATGTCTTGATCCCTTGGATCCGCGCTTCTCGTCTCCAGCTCAGCGAGCGTTTCCACTTCTACTTTCCTGTCCTGCGTTTGCACTCTGACAGAGGTGGTGAGTTCTCCTCTGACCTCTTGACAGCCTACTGTGCGGAGCACGGCATTGAGCAGTCGTTCACGCTTCCGGCCTCTCCACAGCAGAATGGGGTTGCTGAGCGCCGCATTGGCTTGGTCATGGAGGTCGCTCGTACCTCCTTGATCCATGCAGCTGCCCCCCACTTTCTGTGGCCGTTTGCGGTCCGATACGCTGCGCATCAACTCAACCTCTGGCCCCGTGTCTCCTTGCCAGAGACTTCCCCGACACTGCGTTGGACGGGAGAGGTTGGCGATGCGTTGCGTTTTCGGGTCTGGGGATCTCGAGCTTTTGTTCGCGATACGTCCGCGGACAAGCTCTCCTCCTGCACTGTTCCTTGTGTCTTCCTTGGCTTTGTCCCGGACGCGTCTGGTTGGCAGTTTTACCACGCCACCTCGCGCCGTGTCCTGCCCCTACCGCACTGCCCCTCTCCCCCTGGCAGAAGTAGTAGGAGAAAGTTTAGAAGCAGAAAGAGGGTTTGGACTAGCAGCAGTTGAGATACAAATAGCAAACCCTAGATTGGGCTGTACTCGCTATAGAGTACCCCACTGCAGGCTAGACAAATACAACATTCTGACACACCCCCATAGCCAAAGTGGGGTGTAATCAGCACAACAAGCAGTCATAATAGTAGTTCACATTTTATGAGCAAAGCTAGAGGCAGTCACAGAGGGCAAGTGAGGAGGAGGAGGGCTGGCGAGAGGAGAGAAGAGTGGAGGCGACGACTGAAGCTGCAGACACACGGGCAACAGACGGCTCTGGTGCAGCTCTAGTGGCTACCGGGAGCAAGGGCCCCGGAATACAGGAGTAACAGGCTCTGCGTCTGATCAGCAGCGACAGGAGCAACGGACCCACGGGCGACAGGTGCAACCGGCTCTCTGAGCTACCGGTGGCTATCAGAACCCCGGAATACAGGCGCTGCAGACGACACGACGGCGGCCTCCGCTCAACCTCCCCCAACAGTCCCACACCCCTCGACACACACCCCCTGCTTCGCCCCTAGCTCCACTCCCCTTTCACCCCCCTAGTACCACTCCGTCGGCTCCCCACACACCCACCCCCCTGAGCGGCAGCTGCAGCAGCGGGAGACGGAGGAGGAGGAGAAGGAGGGGACGGGGCACACAACCGGCACCCCCACACCCGCCACCCCCAAACCCTAACACAGGAACGCGGGCAGTAGCGGGGGTGGGGCGCCGACAGAAGCTTGGGGGACGGACGAGGCGCGCGCACGGGTCTGCCGCAGGCGGGACGAGGCGCGCGCGGGCTGCCCGGGCCGCGCGCGGGCCTGGCGCAGCCCGTACGGGCCGCGCGCGGGCCTGGCGCAGCCCGTACGGGCCGCGCGCGGGCTGTACGGGAAACGCGCGGGCCTGGCGCAGCCCGTACGGGCCGCGCGCGGGCCTGGCGCAGCCCGTACGGGCCGCGCGCGGGCCTGGCGCAGCCCGTACGGGCCGCGCGCGGGTCCCAGGGGCGCTTCGACGGGCGACGGGGACGTTTCGACGGGCGACGGGGGGCGCTCCGACGGGCGACGGGGGCGCTTCGACGGGCGACGGGGGGCACTTCGACGGTGGGAAACCGCCGCGCGCCTCGGGGCGCACGGTAGGCAGAAAACCGCCGCACGCCCCGAGCGTACGGCGGGATGAAAACCTTAAAAAAATTTCGCGCTCCGCGCGCGGCAGGAAGGAGGCGTCGCGCGACCGAGGCGCGCGACAAGTAGAACAGCAGCGGAAGCATTAGGTGGTGGGCCCACCCACAGGATCGACCCAAGGGGGTCGACCTGCTCTGATAGCATGTCAGAAGTAGTAGGAGAAAGTTTAGAAGCAGAAAGAGGGTTTGGACTAGCAGCAGTTGAGATACAAATAGCAAACCCTAGATTGGGCTGTACTCGCTATAGAGTACCCCACTGCAGGCTAGACAAATACAACATTCTGACACCCCCCCCCGCCTCTCTTCCTCGCTCCAGGTGCTGCTGTGCTAGACCCCCTCCCCCCTCAGGGTGCCGCTCCCTCAGGTGTGTCCCAGGTAGACCCGGTTGAGCCTGTCGAGGTAGCTGTCGACTCTCGTCCTGCTAGGGGTGCTGAGTCTGAGCGTGCGGAGCCTGGGGGTGCTGAGCCTGGGGTTGCGGAGTCTGGGGGTGCTGAGCCTGGGGGTGCTGAGTCTGGAGGTGCGGAGTCTGGGGGTGCTGAGCCTGGGGGTGCTGAGCCTGGGGGTGCGGAGTCTGGGGGTGCTGAGTCTGGAGGTGCTGAGCCTGGGAGTGCTACACCTGGAGGAGCCCTCTCCTCACAGCAGCTGCAGGAGAGGTACTTACAGTACTGCAGCCTTAGGAGCGGTGCCTCTGGAGCCAGGCGTGCTGCTGGAGCTGGTACTAGTGCTTCCCCTCCTGAGCGGGAGCTGCCCTCCCTTCAGAGGATCCGAGAGTGGTACACGCGGCGCTGCAGTCTTCGGAGTGGCGCTCCTGGTGTCGCGGACCCTGGTGCTGGAGGTGCTGCTGCTGCTGGTGCTGCTGGTGCTGCTGGTGGTGCTGCTGGTCTTGGAGCTGCTGGAGGTGTTGCTACTGGTGGTGCTGCTGGTGCTGCGGACTCTGGAGTTGGAGCTGCTGCTGGTGCTGCGGACCCTGGAGTTGGAGCTGTGGCTGGTGCTGAGGACCCGGGCGTTGGAGCTGCTGCTGGTGCTGCGGACCCTGGCGTTGGAGCTGCTGCTGGTGCTGCGGACCCTGGAGTTGGAGCTGCTGCTGGTGCTGCGGACCCGGACGTTGGAGCTGCTGCTGGTGCTCCGGACCCGGGAGTTGGAGCTGCTGCTGGTGCTGAGGACCCAGGCGCTGGTGTCTCTGCTGGTTCTGGAGACGCTACGCGGCCGCGACCGTACTTCGTGCCGCTCCTTCAGCAGGTTCTTGGTCAGCCTCCTCCTCCTTGTCCTGCTCCCTCCTTAGAGTGTCCTCCGCCTGTCCAGTCGCAGTCACAGTTACCGCCTGCCTCGCCTCTCCCTGGTCCTTCTCCTTACACTGGTCCTACAGGAGGTCTTACGGAGCGTCGTGAGCCTGAGTCTCGTCCTGTGTCGCCTGCGTCTCGCTCTGCGTCGCCTGTTCGTGCTGCTCGCACTGGTCGTCGTGTCCCGCGTGAGCGTCCTCCTCCTGTCCCTGGCACTCACTACATGACTCTGCATCCCTCCACTGCTCCTCAGCGTGTCCCTCTGCCGTCTCCTCCTGCGTCCTCTCTTCCTACTCTTTCTGACCCGGAGTCTGACTCCATTCGTGCTGCCCGTCCTACTGTCACGCGTCTCCTCGCCACTGTTGTCACTGACCCTACCTTTGAGTCCTCTGCTGCGTCTGCCTCTGCCACGTGTCGTCTAGACTACGCCGCTAGCCTTGTTGCTGAGTCCGAGTCTGTCTGTCCTCCGTCCGTCGGGGGTGAGTGTGCTCTTGGCACGGACGTCCTTGAGGACAGGCAGGAGGAGTTCCAGTGCTTTGCTGCTGCTTTGCCCCATCTCGTGTCCATGCTAGTTGCCCCTGAGGGAGACCCGGATGCACCAGACATCCCGACTCCGCGCTCTTACGCAGAGGCGATGGAGGGTCCCTACTTCTCTCAGTGGCAGACAGCCATGGACGCAGAGATGGCTTCCTGGAAGTCCACAGGCACCTACGTCGACGAGGTTCCCCCACCTGGGGCGAACATCGTCAGTGGCATGTGGATTTTCAGAGTGAAGCGGCCGCCGGGTTCTCCGCCTGTCTTCAATGCGCGTTACGTTGCTTGAGGCTTCAGTCAGCGAGAGGGAGTAGACTTCTTCCAGACCTTCTCCCCCACCCCGAAGATGACCACTCTTCGGGTGCTGCTGCACATAGCCGCTCAGCGCGACTATGAGCTTCACTCACTTGACTTCAGCACTGCTTTCTTGCAGGGCAGCCTGCACGAGGAGATCTGGCTGCGCCGCCCTCCTGGCTTCACTGGGTCGTTTCCTCCTAGTACCCAGTGGAGCCTCCGACGGCCGGTCTACGGTCTCCGCCAGGCGCCACGTGAGTGGCACGACACACTGAGGACGACACTTGCAGCTCTTGGGTTCGCTCCTTCTACCGCTGACCCGTCGCTGTTTCTACGCACCGACACCTCGCTGCCGCCGTTCTACATCCTCGTGTACGTCGACGACTTGGTCTTTGCCACTGCTGACACTGCAGGACTCGCCCACGTGAAGTCGGAGCTGCAGAAGAGACACACGTGCACAGACCTGGGTGAACTGACAAGCTATCTTGGCTTGCGGATCACCCGGGACAGAGCACGGCGCACCATCACCTTGACTCAGTCACACATGGTGCAGCAGGTCCTTCAGCACTTCCGCTTTACGTACTCCTCGCCTCAGCCCACTCCTCTGCCTACCGGTCACTCGCTCTCAGCTCTGCCTTCAGATGAGTCCGTAGAGCCGAGTGGCCCGTATCCAGAGCTTGTGGGCTGCCTCATGTACCTGATGACCTGCACTCGACCTGACCTTGCATACCCTCTTAGCATCCTTGCACGCTATGTCGCTCCTGGCCGTCACCGGAAGGAGCACATGGATGCCGCTAAGAGGGTGTTGCGCTACTTGTGCAGTACGTCGGGCATGGGGCTAGTGCTTGGAGGGCGAGACCGAGTTGTACTCACTGGGCACTCAGACGCTTCTTGGGCGGACGACCAGGCTACTCAGCGGTCGTCTTAGGGTTACACCTTCAGCCTTGGCTCCGGTTCAGTTTCTTGGCGTTCTACACGCTCTTCTTCTGTTCTCAGCTCCAGTTGTGAGGCTGAGATCTACGCCACAGCCATGGCAGCCCAGGAGCTACGCTGGCTGACCTACCTGCTGACCGACTTGGGAGAGCGGCCTCGTTCTCCTCCAGTGCTGTACGTCGACAACAAGGCTGCCATTGCCTTGTGTGAGGAGCACAGACTGGAGCAAAGAACGAAGCACATCGCTCTGCGCTACTTCCTTGCTCGAGAGCTGCAGCAGCGCGGTCAGCTTCGTCTGCGTTACGTGGCCACTCGGGCCAACACTGCTGATGTGTTCACCAAGGCGCTTCAGCCTTGTGACCATCAGCGTTTCTGTACTCTTCTAGGCCTTGTGCCTGCTGGACCTCACTTGCTTACTTCTTGACTCTGCTTGTACTGTGATCTCTATATATATACCTGCATGTTTACACTTGCTAGGTTGTGATCACTGTATCTCTTGTTATATTATCAAACTGTATGTGAACTGGTCTTGTGACCGCTTGCTTGTGCTCGGAATTTGTGTGGTATTTTTGAGATCCACCCTGAGCTTGTTTTGCTTTGCTTTGACTGGTCTCGTGACCCTCTGGTTGTCTCCCACTGCGCCTATGGGGGTGTGTCAAACATTGTATGTTTAAGTTGTGTAGGCTGTAGTGGGTTTCACCTTAGGGGGTACACAAACTTAGGGTTTCCTACTTGTACCCAACTTTCTGCTAGTTGATCCATT